CCTCTCCAGAGTCATCCACATTCCACCAGGCAGGGCCGTCCACTGGCCGACCCCCACCCTTCCCAGCCAGGGCCCAGCAGGATGGGGGACAGGGATATGGAGATGTGGACCATGGCGCCAGGGAGAGAACCTGGCTGTCAGCCCCACCCCCGAGTGCCCAGAGCACTTGGTACAGCTCAACACCGGCTCCCTCACTCCCTGACCGGGGCTCTCGTGCCCACCCAGGGCTAAGCGCGTTGCAAGGGGCAGGCGGACATAACCCTGTAGGACTCCTGCATCCACAGGCCCCTCCCCAGCTCGAGGCATCAGTCCCCAGCCCCCCTCCCAAGCCAGGTCACGTAGGTGAGGGCAGCGTGTCTGTGTCTCTCTGAGGGGCTTCTGGGAAGCTCATCCTTCTTTTTCCCACCCCAGCCACTGTGGCTGATCAGTTTAGAGCCATGTCCTTTAGGGCTAGATTGTCTGATGAGGATGGGAAGATGGTCTGATGGGGGTGGAAAGATGGTCTGAGGGAGGTGGAAAGATGGTCTGAGGGAGGTGGGAAGATGCCCGGATGGGGGTGGGGGTGAATCAAGCTCCTTGAGGAAAGGACACAAGTTTGGGCATCAGACAGGCCTGGCTTATGGGGTTCTAACAGTGCCACCTCATGGGGTGTTGTGAGGAGCCACTGAGGTGACCTGCGTGAAGCCTGGTGCCTGGTGAGGGCTGTGGCCATTCTGATAAGGGTCCGTCAACCCAGCACAGCCCAGGACTGGGAGACAGTAACCATAGCGCCCACTCTGAGGAGCCCTAGCTTCCGGGTCCAGCACCAGCAGGCCCTTCATTTAATGCCAACAAGGCGCTGCTCCTTACCGTGTGGCCTAAGAGAGCCCCACCCGGATCTGGGGCTTTGCCCCCAGTTCAGAGCCTTCCATTTCAGAGCCGATGGGACCAGGATGGGGAGACAGTGTGTGAGGGAAATGGGGCGGGTGATGCATCACCGTGGGGCAGGTGGCCCATGACCCCAGGAGACACAGTCCAGCCACAGGGGAGGAAGGAGCTCCTCCAGTGAGAGCCAGGTGGAGAGGGAGGGAGCTGCCTGTCCCAAAAGGCATGCAGTAGCCCCGAAAGCCTGCCTGTGAGAGACAGCCGTCTTTCTTGTGCATTCCCATTAATCTTAATTAATGTTCACCTTAGGAGATAGACGGTGCTGTTATTCCTGTTCTACAGCTAAGGAAAGTGAGGCTTGAGATGAAGTGACTTCACCGTCCCACAGCCCATAAGAGGCTGGAATCCAAACTCAGGTCTTCACCCCAGGGGTTTCCAGACCCTCCGGCCTGTGTTAAGAATACAGATTTCTGACCCCTGCTCCAGACCTGGAGATTCAGAGCTCTGGGGCCTGGGGCCTGGGAATCTGCACTGCAGCATGCTTCCTGGGAATCCTCTGCACGTCGAGGCACGGAACCGCTGACCTTAGGTCCTCTGTGTTGCAGGAGTGAGACCATAAAGCCAGACTGGCCCTGGGCTGAGAGGCAGAGAGATGAGGGCAGTGGGGCAAAGGGGGGCCCGGCCCTGAGCCAGCCTGGGGGGGCGTGGCCTGTCGCCAGGGCAACGAGGGGCCTGTGCTTATCTTTACAAATCCTTCCTGACCTCTCAGGCTGCCTGGGACGACCTGGCAGGGGAGGGATTAACTGACACATGCCCCTCCCCTTTGACCCTCTGCCCTGTCCCCCGGAAGGCCCAGATCCCGACACCAGGAAGGGAATTCTCTCCCCAGAGAGAACGACCATAATAATATAACAGCAATCATTTACTGAGCTCGTACTATATGCTCCAGGCTGTGGTGCACGTGTTGCATCTATAATTACATTATTACATTTGATTCAAACCAGGAAAGGTGGGCCCGGGTGAGAAAACCGTCTTCCCACTCGGAGAGGTTATAAACTTGCCCCAAATTATCCCTCAAAAAACTAAGTAGATTGCCATCTCCAGACTTCTGAAAGGTCCACATCTCCCAAAGCCTGTGAAATTCCCACTTTGCAAATGCCAAATCACCAGCCATGTATTGTCATTTTAGTGCATTCCAGCCCCACCTTCCCCAGACACTGGAAAAAGTCTCTAAAGGCTGGAGCAGGTGCGGAGGTTCCAGGATCAGCCTGGGCAGAGCGAGCTGTCCTTCACTCAGTGCTTAGTAACTCCTACTTTACGTGCACTTATAACAGGCCTAGTGATCACTGCTGACAACTCATGGGAAGTGTTTACTCATGGGTGGATTTTGAGAAGCTTCTTGTCTTGACAAGGCAAGAAAGACGAAATTTCTTTCTCTTCTATTTTCTTTTTTAAAATTTTAATGCTTAAAAAAAAATGTTTACTTTTGAGAGAGAGAGAGAGGGCACCGTCACGTTGGGGAGGGGCAGAGAGAGAGGGAGACAGAGGATACAGAGGATCTGAAGTGGGCTCCATGCTGACAGCAGAGAGCCCGATGCGGGGCTTGAACTCACGAACTGTGAGATCATGCCCTTAAGCCGAAGTCAGACGCTTAACCGACTGAGCCATCCAGGCACTCCAAGAAAGAGGATATTTCTAAGAAGTGGCCCAAGATCTTGTAAGATGTGGGAGCTTCTGACACAGGGGCAAAAACTGTCCATCTAATAATATCACTAGGCCGCGAGGACAGGACTGAATAACAGTACCATATGATACAAATACTGCCTCAGAGCCATCAGGAGAGGGCTAAGTTACTCTAACAAGACAGGAGAGTTTGGAGTACTCTTTTACAAAAAGGTTTACCCCCCAAGGCTAAAAGGGGGCAGGGAGTAAATATTTATAATTTTGGTAACAGTTACGGCAACGATGGCTGTCAGGACTCACCGCCTCCCCGCTGCCTGGCACTGGCTTTGGTCTCAGAGCCCTAGGGCCGTGGAGACACTGCCCCTGTGAGGGCCAGACGGACTTGGTGAGGTTCTGCCGCCCAAACAGGCCACTGTTAACTATTAGTGGTCTCCATCTAAAATGTGCTTAGAAACTGGGACTTCCATGTCAAACCTAAGTTGGGGAACCACTGTGTTTTCTCATCAAATTCTTGTGATGGCCCTCAGAGCTACATGGCTTGCCCTCTTTCAGCAGAAGCACGGAGAAGGGGCGTGACTTTGCACAGGCTAGCACTGAAGCCAGCTGTGAAATGCAGGCCCTGCCACACACTAGCTTTGTGACTCTGGGCAAGTTCCTGACCCTCTCTGGGCCTCATTTCCTCCTCTGTAAACTGGGGGTGTGAGAGCCGACCTCACAGGGCAATGGTGAGATTCAAAGTCCATCCTGTGGCGCGCCTGGCTGGCTCCGTCGGTAGAGCATGCGACTCTTGATCTCAGGGTTGTGAGTTCGAGCCCCACGCTGGGTGTAGAGGTTACTTAAAAATAATAAGTAAGTAAGTAAATAAATAAATAAATAAATAAAATCTTTAATAAAAACAAAAACAACAAAGCCCATCATGTTAGTTCATTAGCACAGCATCTTCCAGGTGGCGGTCAGTGGTAATATTTATTCGTTGACCAACGAACCTTTACCTGGAGCAGAGGGTGTCTATCCAGCCAGTCTTGAGGTTGGTTCACATGTGTGTGGCGCCCCGTTCCACCCCTGCCTCTGTCCCACAGTCCGCCCGCCGGCCCCCCCTGGTTGGAGGAGGGGCCAGACTTGGGGGACTGAACTGCTGTCCCTTTGTCAGCGGGCTCCCAGGGTGTGGGGAGGGATGTGAGAGCCCAGCACGCCCCATTGTACTCCAAGATGCTTGGCCCTCTCCACAGCAACCAGCCAGGCTTTTGTGGCAGCGTGGGCCCAGGGTGGAGGGGCTCGGCTCCGGGCCTGGCAAGCAAGAGCAGCGGAGCCAGGGGCCCAAGGGCTTCCAGAAACCCCCATCCCCTCTGGGATAGAAACTCCTTTTCAGGTGGCACAATCCCCAGCCCCTCTCCTGGCACTCAGGCCTCGGGTGCTGGTATCCAGAAACGCTCATGCCCACGGTGCCCTCACCCCAGCCTTTGGGGATCCCAGAGGAGGCCCCCCGCACAGCAATCACAGTGGGAAAGGCCGCCCCTGGGCACCCCAGCAGGGTTGTGCGGAGGTGAGCACGTACATCAGTGTCCGTTTTTTCTGTAGCACCCATCCAGTTTGTGTCGACTCTGCGTCGGGGTTCGCGTGAACGTACATTTCAGCATGAATGCACACGTCGACACACACACTGGTGTGTGCAGGCGTGTGCGTGTGGACACCTGTTCATGTGGTGCTGTGTGCCCTTGTGCATGCCACACCAGTGTGCAGGTGTGTGTATGTGTGTGTGTGTGCATGCATGTGTGTGATTTGTGTGTTCACGTGTGCATGTGTTTGCAGGTAGTCTGCCATTTTTCTGTGTGCACATGCATATGCGAGTGCAGACATTGGAGGGCAGGGACGGATAGCAGATCCACAGACCAGGATTTCATGCCCCTCACGTGCAGAGAGCAGAGAGCAGACCCTCACCTCCTCTCATGAGCCCAGATTTGCCTCAGGGGCCCAGCTCGTAAGCCCCCATCCCTGCCAGAGCCTCAGTGCCCTCCACTACAAAATGGGGTCCTCGTCCTCCCCAAGGGCCCTGCAGAGAGGAGGAGATGAAGCCTTCATGAGGCAGGCCCCGTGAATGGGGAGGAAGCCCCCAGGGGCCTGGGGAGGCTTGACCTCCCACCCTGAGAGTCCGAGGGGTGAGTCCCCTCACCGCCTCCCCTCCCACTGCAGTGAGGCCTAGGCCACCCGCCCAGGTTGGCTCCCCCTCCCTCCTCCAGCACTGGAGGCGGGGTCAGGGGACTTCCCAGGCCTGGCCCTGTAGCTATAGTGACCGAGACAAAGCGTCCCCCAGACCCCCCAGGAAGAAGTCCAGGCGTGCACACGTGAATCCATGAATCTGCTCGGACAAAAGCAAAACCGTTTGGCGAATGGGGTCGGGCTTCAGGAAGCCCTTTCAGCTTGGCGTGGGAGTGCCAAAGAGGGGACAGCGGTGGGCACACATGCTCCTGAGTGCCTGGCCACCCCCAGGAGCCCCAGAGCACCCCCAGCCCCCCAGTGCAGGCAAGGCTAATACACAAATGGAGGGATGCAGGTAGCTGCCGGGTTT